GGGCGGAGATGTGACCTGGCAGCTTCCGGGAGGGCAGAGTGCCCTGATGGTCAACGCCAGCACCTGGCACAGGACTCCTCGGTGGAGCTGATCAGCGCCAGTGGGGAGGGGCTTGCAGACCCTCGGCTCCAGGACTCCACCCACCCACGGGCTGCTCTGGTCCTGCACGCCCCGGGAACAAGGACCCGTGAGGAGGGGCGTAGGAGGGCTGATGTTCAGGCTCCTGTGGGCGAGAATGTTGCGGGAGCTCTCCCTGTCACTCCAGATGGAAGGTGGATCGTGAGTCCCCCAGCATTGGACCAGTGGGCCCTGGGAGGGTCAGGGAATGTCCAGGGGATACCTTGGCCAGCCTGGCTCGGGGTCCTTTTCGTAGTCACCTCCCTCATTCCACCCCCCACCCCCCCCAGCAGTCAAGCCAGGAAATGGCTCTTCCCTCCCTGCTGGCTCTCCTCCTTGTTACTGCAAACCTGGGATTAATTTAATTACACGCTTGTCTCCAAGAGGTGGGGGCATGGAGGCGCCCCGTGGGATTGTGAGTTGCCCGAGGCTGCTGGGAAGGATCGTCCTCCCAGGGAGCCGGGCCCTTCCTGGCATCCCCTGCCCTCCTGCTCTCGCCCCTGCCACCAACCCCGACTTGGGGGCCCACCTAGCTCTCACTCTTCCCCACGGCAGGGCACCTGCTCTGACCCCCAGGTGACCAGATGTCCGGCTCCCTGGCTCCTGGCAGCATGCAGAGCCTGGCTTGGGGAGCTGAGGGTAGGGGCGGTGGGGACGGGGTCCCGTGTGGCCGGGGAGGCTTATCTGGGTCTTTGAGGAGGCGGCCTCATAGCCTGTTAAACTCTGCAGGATCGGGCAGGCTCAGGGCTGAGCCGGGGCCTCGGAAAAGGCCCCCAGAGCAGAGCTGGGGGCAATGGGCAGAGGGTGGCCGATGGGGCCCACTTTCCACGCCATCCTCTGGGCCACCCTTCTGTTTCCCTTGACATTAACACGGGACTCTGCGATGTGAAGGTACAATTGTTTAGTCCCTTCTCCTTTTTTATAAAGAAAGATTTCTCCCTATTCTAAAGGGAGATTACTTGAAAATTAACAAGAAACAGTGTGAATAAATAAAGTCACCCATCTCCTCGTCAGCAACACCACGGTCAGTATCTCTGTGTGCCTCGTTCCTGGATTTCTGTTTCAATATTTTTAAACATAATAGCAATTCTACGTGTAGTTTTGTGTCCAGTTCTTTTCACTGGCGTTTAAGTGTTTTTCTTACCGTTGAGGAGAGAGACTCTCCTAAACGTCGTTGGTTGGCGACAAGGGTATAAACTCTCTGCTGTTGCTGGACGAATAGTTGTTTCCAGTTTGGGTCACTGTAACGCTGTCTGCATTCTTCATGATTGCAATTAATTCGTTAGGATGCGTTCCATTGGGAGCACTGGGTGATTAAAGGCATTTTAAGCTTCTCACATTGTTCTTTTGAAATTCAAAAGAAAAACCCAGCAAACCTTGATGTCTGAAGCGTAGTTCATCCTCTGCAGCCTCTTGGGGTTTGGGGCGAACCCAGACAGAGGGGCTGAGCGGAGCGGCTCCTTGCTCTGGGGCCGTGGACGCGGCCTGTGGTTTGTGCGTGAGCGATGGCCTGTGTCCCTTCTCGTGGCCCTGGCTCTGTCGCCGCTCCTTCTTCCCGACTGCCATCCTGGGAGGTGGGCGTGAGGCTGTGGAGTGGCGGTGTGCCCGGCCCGCCTGTTGCCCAGCGCGGGCGCTAAGCTGGTCGGCACGTCTGCTGACTCCCTCCCACCCAGGCCAAGCTCCAGCGGCAGTCTGACAGAGAAGGGCAGGGCTGGGAGCTCCTGGCTCAGCGCATCGGAATGGCAGAGGGACACAAAATCGCCCCCACAGCCAGGAGACCATGGGCGGGCGGTGTGCCCGCCTTCGGGGTGGCTCTGCGACCGTACAGGGCAGCGTGAGAGTTAGTGACCTGACTCAGGTCGCTGGTCCTTCTCCTGGCTTCAGGGCTGTGCCTGGCAGCACATCCCCTGGTGGGGCTGCGGTGCGCGAGGGGGCTGGCTTGCGGCCGTGCCCGAGGGTTGGGCAGTAGTGGGGCGTCCAGGGGAGACGCTTGACCAAGAGCCACGTCTCATTAGGGACCTCTGCCGGCTTCTCACAATGGCACGGTGCTGTCAGCTCCTCTCAGAGCGGCGGGACACTTGGGGTCCTGAGCACTGACCTATGGGGGTGGGCCTGGAAGTCTGGGCCCTGGGCCCCCCTGCTCACCTGCCAGCAAGTAGGGACACTATTCTTGTGGCCTCCTCGTCTGGAAAATGGGGACGATGTCTTTTGGCCCCTGTGAGCCTTCAAGGAGGCGCCAGGTGCAGGGGCTGCCGTGCGTCACACAGGGGGTGAATGGGGGGGACCTTCCCTCCCCCGCCGACCCCACCCAGAGGGGGACGACATAGGGGTCAGTGGTTGTTTTAACGTGTAAGGTTGAGGGAGCTGGGAGGGTCTGGAGTTTACCTTATCCGCTGTTTCCCGGGTGGTGTTCCAGGGAACCCTCCTGCCGGCAGCAGGTGGAGGACACAGAGGATTGGGGAGGCCAGGCTGCACCCCATCTCCGTCCCCCTGCTCACAGGGCCCAGCACCCCTGGAACACCGAGGCCCTTCCCATCAGGCCTGTTCGTGAGGGCGGGTGCGGACACCATGTGGGAACTGCTGGTCAGTTTGGGCTGATTGACGGGTAAACCGAGGCCGGGGGCCAGCATGGGGCGTGAACTGTAGTGACTGCTGAGGGTCCCCTGCCCGGGCCCTGGGCACAGGGAAGCCTCTGCAGTCCCCGCCTGGGGTCCAGTCCCCCCACCCTGCCCCGCCACTGCCCCGCGTGTGTATAAAGAAGCCATTTGCGCCTCTCGCAGGTCACACAGCGGGGCTCCTCGCAGAGCTGCCCTGTGTCACCAGGGTCTCCCTGGGAGCGAGGGGGAGTGGTCTGGCCAGTGACCCTCTTCCTCTCCAGAAGGCTTCGCATTCCTGAGAGGTGACTGGCAGGGAGCAGGGGGGAGGAGTTGGTTATGTAATTGGGGCGGGGTGGGCCGCCCCCCATTCCTGCCCAGGACGGGGCTGAGGGCTCCTGGGCCTGGTCCAGGGCTGGGGAGACAAAGCTCCTGAGGGTATGCTTGGGGAACACGGTGACCCACAGCACGCAGGTCAAGGGGCACACGGGCACCTCCTGTAACTGGGGGCGCGTCAGAGGCAGCAGCTCGGCGCTGCTGTTGGGCGGAAGCTCGTGAAGCCTGGGCCAGCCTCCAGCGCAGGGGGCTTGGGGCCCTGGGGAGGGGGCCACTGGCTGCCCCATCCTCACAGGGCGCCCGTGGAGCTCTCTTCTGCCGGCAGGCCCTGTTGGGGAGGGGCGTGGCGTCCGCGTCACACACCTAAGGGCCCAGGGTTCGTCCGCGGTCATGCTGACTGTGCTGGCGTGGATGCATGACGGTCCAGCTTGTCCTTTGCCTGCACCTCAGCCCCCTGTGCCCACCTGGGAAGGTTAAAAGCCCCCCCGGGGGGGCAGTGGTGTGGGGCATTAGGGAGCTGGCTTTGGTCGAAGGTCTGGTGCCTTCTGAGATGAAGGGCCGCTGGTGTGGTCCGGGAAGAGACCCTGAGTCCTGCTGGGGGTCGGGGCCGGTGGGTACAGCAGGAACAGCGACTGGCCCAGGGGTGGGCAGGGCCCAGACTGGCGTCTGGGCTGTGTGGCCTCTGGCCGGGCGCTCATGCGGGTGAGAGGAGCATAGCCGTCCCTTAGCAGGTGGCAGCAGACCTCCTGGGGGAGGTACCCTGTGCTGTCACAGAGGTGCTCAGACCCACCTTTCTTCCCTGGGCACGGGCACCTGCTGTGACTCTTCCGTCCCCTTGCCTACCCTACCCTGTGTTAACCTTCCCTGTCCCGTGTTCTGCCTCCCTCCCCTTGCCCTCTCTGCCCCATGTCACCCTTGGCCTCCACCCAGGCAGGCTCCCTTGTCCTGGCCTGGAGTGAGTTAGTCGTTAGTTTTCTCCTCTGAGCTGATTTCCAGCCCAATGGGGAGGTAGGACCAGGGCTGTGGGTAGCCAGGGTGGCGGAATTTCTCCCGCTTCTTTTTTTTTTTTAATAGAGACAGGATGCTTTAAGGTGGTTTCTAAAAATTAATTAATTACTTAGCTTATATTTTGGCTGCGTTGGGTCTTCGTTGCTATGCGTGGGCTTTCTCTAGTTGCGGCGAGCAGAGGCTTCTCTTGTTGCGGAGCACAGGCTCTAGGTTGCGTGGGCTTCAGTAGTTGTGGCACTCAGGCTCAGTAGTTGTGGCTCGCGGGCTCTAGAGCGCAGGCTCAGTAGTTGTGGCACACGGGCTCAGTGGCTCCGCGGCATGTGGGATCTTCCCGGACCAGGGCTTGAACCCGTGTCCCCTGCATTGGCAGGAAGATTCTTAACCGCCACACCACCGTGGCAGTCCCTCTCCCACTTCTGATGTGATTGTGCAGCGGGGTCAGCGTGGTGAGGGAAGGTGGATTTCACCCCCTCCACGTTCAGGAACTGGGGGCATGTGGTTGGACGTATCTCCCTGGCCTCTGACTGCAGGAGGGGTGGTGGGTTACCTGTGTTATGCAGCCCCCCGAACAGATCGCTTGCAGAAGTTCTGTGCGTCAGGCAGGATGGAGCGGAGGAAGCCCAGATGCTGACTTGGCATGCTTGGGGCCTCAGTTTCCCCCCTGAGCAGGGGAGGGCCTCCCTGGACCCTGGGCCTTGGGGTGAGCTGCCCCTGGGTGAGGGTCCCATCAGGGGAGCATTTGTGAGAACTCTTTTTGGACCTGAAGCATTGTGGAAGTTGAAGGAATCAGCTCAGGACGAGCTGGTGAGGGAACCCATCACCCACTTCCTGCAGGTCAGGGAAACCTGGGCTCAGAGGCCCACCGGAGGGGGCCCAGGGGAGGGTGGGCCCTTCTGTTGGATACAGTTTGCCGACGGGTGACATGCCCCCTTTGTGTCGTTACAGATCCCTCGTCCACCTACATCAGGCAGCTGGAGACCAAGGTGAAGCTGCTGGAGGGTGACAAGCTCCTGGCACAGGTAGGCTGGCTGTGGGCCAACCCCACCCTGAGGGCCAGTGCAGGCCCTGCTGCCCACCCACCACTCTCGCCCCAGCACACCTGGGGTTCCCTTCCCCCTTCCCACCCCTAACCTTCCACCTGCCCCCGACTCCTGCCCGGAGTCACCTCCTGGGACACCTGGCCGAGGACGGCCACCTGCCTTCCCTCCATCACAGCCTTTCCCTGTCTGTCCCCGCTGTGGTCTGCGAGCCCCTTGGGGGCTGGCGCTGGGCCCGTCCCAGAGATGGGGCAGAACACACACACAAGTGCTGAAGAAATGGACTGCTTTGCCCTTTGGATGGGCGCATCAAGGCCCAAGAGGCGGGCTGGCCCGTCCCCGCTCAGACCCCCATGGAAACTTCCCTGCCCCTGCTGTGCCAGTTTCTCTCTGGGCTGGGGTCTGCCCTCCTCCCTCCTGCCTGGCCTGAGTCCACAGACAGGTGAGGCCAGGCCTCGTCCCCGGCCTGCCCCTGGCCTGTCCCCAGCACAGGGATGGCGGGTTAGAGATGGGTGACGGGGTCAGTGCGGGGAGGAGGTGGTGCAGGATGAGAGGGGGGGCAGGCGTCTGTGCCCTTGGCGAGTGCGGCTGGAGCGTGGAGGGGGCGTGGCTGCCAGGACGAGGGGCCTTTCCTGCTGTTGGCAGGGTGGTGATGGGGGGCTGTGATCAGCCCGGTCGGTCGGGGTGTCTGGGGCCAGCTGGCTCGGCTGACCCTCCAGCCTCTTTCTCCCTTGTACTCATCCCTGACTTCATCTCAGTAGCCCTCTCCCCTGCCACATCTGCTGGCCCATAAGTGGCCGGCCGGGATGCCCAGAGCGTTTCTCTGGGAACCAGCCCCAGGGAGGGCTCAGCTGCCTGGCCTCGTTGCTAGGCGACCAGTGGGCTTGGCGCCACTGCCCTGCTCAGACACCCTCTCTGCCCACTGGGCGGCTCACAGCCCCAAGTGCAGCCCGACAGCTGCCATCCCACCTCTCGCCCTCGCAGGGGCTGCTGGAAGTTCCCCCTAGCTCGGCAGGACCCTGCAGAGTATGTGGTTCACATTTGGGTCTTTGCTCCCCCACATCCCATGGCCACCGCATTGTGTCAGGCGCATAGCCAGGCACTGAATTGCAAGGCTTGTTTTCAAACAAAATGTGTCACTTGTTAAGGTGCTGGAAGGGCCTGGCTGCAAGATATGCTGGCTCCTCGGGGCTGGCAAGGCCAGGGAGGGGCTGGGGCCTCGCCTGGCGGTGGGCTAGGGCTCCTTAGACCTGAACACTCCATGTGGGCTTGTCCTGGTTGCTAAGGAGGGTGTGTGGGGCGGGCTGCGGGAGCTGTAGGCAGGGGCGATGGGGGCAGCCTCAGGACTTGGGGGCCTTTGCTCTGGGGCTGGTTCCCATCCAGCGAGTAGGGAAGCGAGTCACTCACTTCAGCCATGTACAGCAGGGTGAAGGCCAGGACCTCGCTCTGGCAGTGGAAGCCTCCGACCAGCGGGTCAGCAGCCTTGTGAGTCTGCCCCAGTCCAGCTGTTCTTTGTGTCACTGTTTCTGGGGAGAAGCAGGTTGAGAGCTTGGACCCCAGATTTGGGATGCTATTTGCAATGCTGTTCTGCGGTCCAGGCAGGGCATGGCTTGTGGTCCTGTTTCCAAGGACAAGGACAGGCTGCAGAGTGGCAGTCCTTCCTCCTCCTCCTGCCTCTGGGAGCCCCCCGGTCTCATAAGGGAGCCCCCCATAGCTGTGTCCCCTTGCCCTGTGCCCACAAGGGCAGAGGTGGAGGTTGACGGGGCCCTGTGTCTGGAGCATCAGGGGTGCGGGCCGCCACCTGGGCAGGGGGTTTCTCTGCCTGGTCCCTCCCCACCAAGCCTGCTCTGACCTGCTCCAGGGGTCAGACTGGGGACATTGTCCTCGTCCTGGAGGCAGCAGCAGTGGGCTTCTGTCCCCGACCTGTACCCATGCCAGGCTCTCCGGAAACACACAGCCATCAGATGGGGGCGCGACCTCTCGCCCGGGCCCAGGCTTGCTGGCTTCAGGCAGATGGGGCTTTAGGGACAAGAACATGCTTTGGCCCGGCTCCTCGCTGGTACAGGAGAAGTGCTGGGAACTCCGAGACCATCCAGTGTGCCAGTGTGCCAAGTTTCTTGTTTCCTGAGTAGACTTTTCTTTCTCCCCAGATGAAGCCTTGTGAGGCTGAGCTGCTCCGGTGATAGCCGTGGGTGCTTGTGTGTGTCATGGGGGTGGGGCCCCTGGGTCCTATCCTCGTCTCTTCCTCACGAGGGCTCTGCTGGCGAGTGGGGGTCTTGCCCAGGGTCTCCCAGTGAGCGGTGTCAGGGCCATACCCAGCATCCCGAGAAGGGGGCAGCCGTGTGGTGCTGGGGCCTTGGCCCTCCAGTGCACTGCGTACCCACCTGCCCTGGTCCCCTTGCTTCAGCCGAGGGCTGACCCTCAAGCTACAGGATGCAGAAGCACCCGGGGGCCAGGGTGCGGGCAGGGCATCTCCAGGGTCATGGGCGGGACTCCTGTTGCCCCTGCCACCCGCTGCCACCAGGGCTTGGCCTTGAGGGTGGGTGGGTGCCCTGGAGGAGGGCGTTGCTGTTCTGAGCCACGCAGGGGATGTGAGAAACAGTGAGAGGAGGGTCGCTTCTGGCCTGCTCAGGGCTTCCTGGCAGAAGTTGACACCTTGCCTGCCTCTGGGTTCCTAGGGTGGCTCAGGCGGCATCAGCTTTATGAGGACCCTTGAGCCACTTCCTCTCCCCTGGCCTCTGTTTGCTTACCTGTAAAATGGGCACTCACTCACTCACTCCATGTGTAACTGATCACCTGCTGTGTGCATGGCTGGCGGGGGCCGGGGTGGGGTGGGTGTACAGTGGTGTCCAGGCAGAGGCCTACCCACAGGGGGCACTCTTGTGCTGCCTCCTTGTCCTGGCCAGCAGGCTCATGTATACGGGAGGGCTGTGGAGGACAGTGGAGGTGGGGAGAACTCCGTGGGCAGGGCTCAGCCCACAAGTAGAGTACTCGTCTTATTTTGATGAGTACTGGTCCAGGGAAGATGGGGTTTTCTTAGCCTCCTTCCTCCTGGCCTCCCGCCAGTAGCCTTCCCCAGCCACCCCCAGGTGGCCCGGCACTTGCTCTGGGCTCTCTCAGCCCCATAGGCTGCCTCTCTTGCTGCCGGGATATTGGGATCCTCCTTGTGAAGCCTGGCCCTGACCCCTGCTGGACTGTTAGGTACTCAAGGACTGGGCTGCTGGGTCTCAGTGGTCACATCTGTGTCTCAATGCCCAACTGGACTTGGTGGATGCATCTTGGGGAACCCTGGCTGCACCTGCCTGGTCTCCCAGGCTGGGAGGGGAGGCTGGTTCTTGCCCAGAATAAGGAAGGTCTGCTTAACCCAGGGAGAGTGGCTTCATAAGGTAGTGAGTGTACCATCTGTGGAGGTAATCAAGTGTGGATGGATGGATGGATGGGGGTGATGGGTGACCGTGTTTGGGAATATTGAAGAAGGAGATTGCTGCCATGGGTGGGATTCTGGCCACGGTCTCATGGGCTCTAGCTTGTGAGATTCATGATTCTGGCACCTATATCTTTTCAGTGAAATCAAATTGCACAGAAACCTCCAGCTCTGTGCAAAGTGGAAAATCTGCCTTTGGCCAAAAGCAGGGGAGAGCAATGTTATTCTTTTAACTATCTTTGGGTGACGTGGCTTTGGGGTTTGGGTGGGAGGGCAGAGAGCCGCTGTGGATTCCCGTTCCCCACTGCCCACCCTCTCCCTCCACGGCCTCTATTTAACTCCAAAACAGCTTTAATTAAAAATGTGCCAGAGTGTTCACAGGCTAAATTACTGTATTGCAGTTCATATTTTCTTTCTCATGTCGGCTTTAAAATTTCATCAACACAGCTGCTTCCTCTGCAGTGATTCATCTGGAGCCCAGTATGTGATAGGATTTTTCCCGTGGATTCTGTGCCTAGCCGGGCTGGGCTGGAGGCGGCTCTGATTGACGTGGGGGCCTACGCTCTGTGGTTCCCTCCATTCACTTCCCTGCTGGGCTGATCAATGAAGGCTCCGCGTGTGCCCAGAAGCCAGCTTCACAAAAGAGCAAGAAGCAGGTCGGGCAGGAGCGGGCGGCCGTCTGGGGGAGAGGAGGCAGTGGTCCAGGCCCGTGGCTGTGACGGGTCCCAGCCGGCCCCCCTTCGCCTGGCCCCGGTGCCCGCTCTTCCCATCCTGCCATGCCACACAGGGTCACTGTACACTCAGGTTGGAAGTGACCCCAGGATTTACACCAAGCATGGATGGGGAAACTGAGGCCTGGGTGGAGGAGGATTTCCTGGGACAGGTGATTGTATTAGTTTGCTAGAGCTGCCGTAACAAAGAACCATGCACTTTGTCGGAGCGGGGTGCGTGGAGAAGGGGCTTAAGCAACTGAAATGTATTGAATGTATTGTCTCACGGTTCTGGGGAGCATGAGGTCAACAGGTCAGCATATGAATTTGATTGGGACATAGTTCAACCTGTAGCAATGATGCTGTTGGCCTGACGGTATAAGAAAGTGGGTTTGAGCCCCAGAGGAGTCTGGGTTCAGATAATCCCTGCTCCACCACTCACCGGCTGTGTGGCTTTAGGTAAGATACCTTATGTCCCGGCGCCTGGTTTCCTCACCCATAAGACAGGGGCGATGGTGATGCCTGCTACAGCACTGACTGGAACCTGGGGGCGCCCAGGCAGTGCTTGCCCTTCTCTCCTTTTCCTGGTCTTGGGAGCCTGGGATTTTTCAAGGTCTGGAAGCCCACGCCCATTCAGCCGGGCTTGGTCCCTGATGGACTGCTCCTTCTTGCCTTTTGTCTGCGTTTTGAACCATCCAGGCCTTGGGACTGAGGAACAGTCTGCTACTATCTGAGCCCATTGCTGACACCTCAGTACTGTTGCCCGCCTCCCCAGGGAGGGCTGTTTTGGTCGGTTGGTCCCCTTGCCCAGGCCCTGCAGAGATGCTGGCCTCATGGTGTGTCTGTGGTGGCAGTGCTGCTCGCTGGCATCTTCTGTGACATGCTGCTTCGTTGACGGGCTCTGGGCTGTCCCTGCTTCGCCCGTTTGGTGTTCCGGGCTTGGCTGTCATGTCCCCGCCCCTTCTGTCATGAGAGATGTGGTCTCCGGAGGGCTTCATCTGCTTCATTAGCAGAACCTTAGAACCAGTCCAGCCTCTTCCTCAGCCAGGGAGGAAACCCCCTCTTGCCATCATCCAAGCAGATGGTCAGTCTAGCAACGTGGGCAGGAAGAGAGACAAGGAATTCTTGTCCCTTACGCCCGAGGCTTAACCAGGGTCCACCGTGAGCCAGACACCAGGTGCTCAGCATGGTAAGAGGCTAACCCCAGAGCCAGAGGGCCTGGTTCCAACCCGCAAAGTGCCACTTACCAGCTGGGTGGCATTGGGCCAGTGGGTTAACCTCTCTGTGCCTCAGGTTTCCCAGCTGTAAAACGGGGACTAACGGTGTCTGCTCCAGGATTAAAGGGCAAATCACGGAAAGCACTGAGGGCCGGGGCTGGCTGGCGATAAGGGTCGGGGGTCAGCCACTGTGACCTCACCTGTGGGCCATCCAGCAGCTGAGTGTCCTACTGGACCCCAATTGACATGCAGGCGAACAGAGACCTGGGAGCGGGCGAGTTGCTCAGGTGCACTCAGTTGCGATGGGATTTGGATTTTGCAATGCCTGTGCCCTCCAGAGTCCCCCACCTGCCTCCACAGAGGTTACATGGCCCGCCCCTCACTCACCTCATCGGAGCAAGTAATGGTCCCACCAGGGGACCCGTGAGGGGATGACGGTCATTGCAGTTGGGACCCGGTCAGCGCGGTACCCATCAGTTACAGGCCACATGGTTCTGGGCAGTACACACATCCGGGTTTGAAAAATGGTTTAGGACCTGAAGTCGCATGGGGGTAGGGGGCAGTGCCAGCTGCGGGTGAGACATCAGCCACGCGTTAACCGCACGTGGACGACACGCTGCCTCGTCTGAGCAGTAACCGGAAGAACCCGCTGGATCCCCGGCCACGCCGCAGCCCCTTTGATTCACGGCCTGCTAATGAGTTCTCGTAAAATTAAAGGGGGAAAAAAGCAGGTAAATCTGGTTGGTAGGACCTGTATGTTCTCGTGAGAGACCTTGCAGGCCACATTCGCCCTGAGGACGGGCAGATATCTGGCCTCGCCCAGCTGGCTGGGATCTCGGGGTGCCTCTCAGAAGGGCAGCTGTGTTCCGGTGTGAGCCTCGGGGAGGGCTGTGAAGGTGTTGGGGCCCCAGTTCCTGGCGTGTGGTAGGCGCGCTGTCAGTCTTTGTGCAATCTGGAGTTTCTAAAAACACGGGGCTCCTGTGAGGCGCCTTGGGGACCCTGACCTCGGCCCTTGGCCTCCCTACTGCAGCCCAGCCGAGGTCCTGGAGGCTTTGGGCTAATGGGTGTCCAGGGGAGGGAGGGCAGAGGTGAGGGTCGTGGTTGGCATTGCTGGGTGACACTTGCTCTCTTCCCTTCCAGCTGCCCCGCCCCTATGGCCGCCCGAGAAGCTGGCTTCAGGTAGAGCTGCCCGGCAGGGCTTGTTTGCAGTGCTGTGTGGGGTGGGGGCTGCTTGCAGTGCTGTGTGATGCCCTGTCTGCCCGCAGCGCCCTCCCATCTCTTCCTGGGAGCTGACCACCACCCAGGGTGCCCTGGTCCTGCCTTTAGATTCATTGTGGGATCCGCCCTCTCTCTGAGCTGGTGTCACTGCCCAGTTTTACAAAGTGACAGCAAAAGAGTTGTGAGACAGTGGCCTCTTGTGATGCTGCACCCAGGCCCCTGCTTACCCACCTCTCACCGGATCTGCCCAGCTTGTGAGGTCAGGGGGCAGGTCGAGATCTGCACTTTGCAGGAGAACCTGCAGTGCCTGGTAGGGTGAGGGCTTGCTGAGGCCACAGGAGTTAGTGCTGGCTCCCAGCTGGCCCAGGTCCTCGGGCGAGGTCTCCAGGGATGCCTGGAGGTAGGAAGAACCCACCAGCGCCCAGTGCTGGGCTCCCACCCTCTCCGAGCGCTACAGCCTTGCCACCCCTGGGAGGTGGGCGTCACTGCCCTGTGTTAGGGTTTCGGAAAGCGGGGCTGGTGTCACTTGTCACCTGTCCCCATGATAGAGACATCGACACCTCCCTGTACCACGAGGGCTGGCAGGCTGAGCGCTGGCTCCCACTGATGGGGTCCTGCCCCTGGTCACTGCATACACATCGGCCCATGGGCCCTGCGTCTGGGGATCTGAGCGGTCACCTGCGGGCAGATTGCCAGATGGGGACGCCCGGGCGCCCCCGTGTCGGTGCTCACCTTCCATCTCCGCAGTGGCAGGCCCTGCTTCACCTGTCAGGCGCTGCCTCTCTGCCTGGCTGCACCCAGTAGGACCATGTCCTGTTGTAGCCTGCGGCCCACCCGAGGGGCTGAGAGCCCTTTGGGACCAGGAAGGCAGGGCGAGTAGCTGCCTCTGAGCGAGCCCAGAAAGCGGCCCCCCAGTGAGGAGCCCTGAGTGGAGGGGGGGGGGAGGTGGGCGCCTAGCCTTGTTTTCTCTGAGTTCTGCCCTTGGCCCGGTTCTGTTCAGCACCTCCTTTGACGGTGCTCCCCAGGAGGCTCTGCAGGTGGCCTCAGGGATCCCCCGGCTTTGCAAGCAGGAGTCGCTGGGCAGGCGATGACTAGGTGCTTCTGTGGCTGGGAGCCTCCTTGCAGCCCCACAGAGGCCCGGAGAGGCTGGGGTAGCCTGAGTTCACACCACCCGCCGCGACCCGCTCTGAGCTGGATAGCGTTGCAGTGATGGCCCTGGACAGAGGCCCCGGGTGCCCTTAACAGTGGGATGGGAGGCTCTGCAGCCTCCTGGGTCTCTCCCTCCCGGTCCAGAACTCTTGTGCTGCTTTCTCGTGGGGGACAGGGTGGGGTGGAAGCGGCCGTTGCTGTAGCTGCAGTGCTGGATCGTTTCCTTCCCTTTTAAGGATCCGGGCAACCCTGTTCCAGCTCCTGCTCTGTGTGTCAGATCCGCTTCCCTGTGTCCCGAGGGACCCCGTTAGGGGGCCTGGGGGGCAGGGCAGTCCTCTCCTGGGGAGCAGTGGTGCGCCCCGTGTCCTGCCCGCCCCGCCGCCCCAGAAGGCCCCTTCAGCTTCGCTCCATCTCAGTGGTGAAACCCTAGGGATTTCATCTTCCAGGGCACCAAGAGGCAAGCGGCAGGAGTTTTAATTTGGGTTTAAGTGCAGTCATGTTGCTTCATGTCGATGCGTCATTAGCTGCGTTGCCCCAGCATTCTCCCCGCCAGCTTTGTGGCTTTTTGCTCATAAAGTGCTGTGGGCTCGCAAATAGTTATGGACATCGCTGGAGGCAGGGGTAGGAATTGCGTGCTGCTAAGTAAAAACTCCCCACCCTCTTGCGCACACACCTCCTCCCCAGGGAATTATCTGCCGGGAGGGAGGAGACACACAGACCTGTGTTTTCAGTAGCAGCACGTGGGCTGCTTCTGAACCCATTTGGTCCGGGATCAGAGACGCTGTGGAGGAGGGGAGACTCAGCCCAGAGCAGAATCTAGACGGGGTGCGGGTAAGGACAGGGCAGCACCCGCCGTCCTGGTCCCAGGGGCCGACGGGAGAGAGCAGTGGCTCCAGTGCCTGGCCCTGTGGTCAAATCCATGCCAGTGTGTGCGTGGCCTGCGGCCCCAGGGGTGGACGTTCAGCATGTTGAGTTGAGAACGCGCTTTCCACTGGAGAAGATTTTCTAACTGTCACAGAGATCTGGCCAGGAAAATAATTGGCTTTGGGATTTTTGCCTATAAATGGAGCTGGGGGGGCGGATCCCCATGGGAGGGTGAATGAGTGCTGGGCGAGGGGCAGCGTCTCTTTCCTGTTGGCGACTGGTGGCAGAGGTTCGGCTCAGATAGACCCCTGGCTGGGCCAGGGAGGGTCAGTATGCCTTGGGCTTTAACGCCTCAGGTTAACCCAAACAGGCCTTGGCTGGTGCGTGACAGTCCCATTTTAAGATAGAGGACTGTGACCGAGATCCCCCTGTAAGACCCTGCTGCAACTCAGGGGACCCCACTTCTCTCCCCTCTGTGTCCCTTGGTGACCTTGGCCACACTCCGGTGCTCCCTAGGCCACGGGAACAGTTCTTAGCTAGGTGGCTGGTCTCGGCTCTCCTCGGGCCGGCGGGAGCCTGGGGTGGGGATGGGATGGGAGTGGGGTAATGAGGGGAGTGACTGCCTTTCTCCTGTTCCTCCGGGCCGCCTCCGCTCCTGTCCTACAGATACTTACAGGGCACTGCTGTGTGTGCCCAAGCCCTTGAGAACTGGGGCGTCTGACCTGGGTCTGATGGGGGCGGGAAGGCAGAACCCAGGGAGTTGATGAGGCTGGAGGCCCCGTGAGAAATGGGGGCCTGGGTCCAGTGGCGGCGGGGGGGAAGATGGGCGTGTGCAGGGGCCCCTGGGCAGAGCAGGGGAGTGCTGGAGAGGAGGAGGGGCCCCCAGGAGTGGCTGCCGCCCTGTCTTGCTCCCCCAGCCCTGGCCTCTTCCCCTCCAAGGGTTTGCTTGGGCAACTCAACGGCCTGCTGCTGATTTATGGGATGTTCCGCTGCATTTTATCTGCCCAGAAGTGTTTCCGCAGTTCCTTTGAAGTAGAAGAGGGTGTTGGGGTCAGAAGCGCCACCCCAGGGCTGTAGTGATGCAGAGGGTCCAGAAGCCAAGGTTTCTGCTCAGCGGGACCAGGGGGCCTCCGCTGGATTGAGCGTGACCCCTGGGTCCCCCCCGCCTCTGGGTCCAGCCCCAGCTTCTGCGCGGCTCTGCTTTGCCCCGAGGGGAACCACCTAAGGCCACATAGGTGCTTGTTCATTCATTCACTCACTCATTCATTCAGTAATTCATTCATTCCCGCTTCCCCCCTCCTTCTAAGCGTGCCCTGGGCATTCATTAGTCATGAGCCCGGCTGCGCTGGCACCTGTGGATACAGAGGGTGAGGCCCAGGGCTCACACTTACGAGCTGCTTTCTGACGGCGGAGGCTCACGGGCAGCGTGTCAGAGCGCTCTGCAGGCTCACACCTTGGGCAGCCCCAGCCCCGTGGAGACGGGAGGACTTCCCCGAGGACGTGGGCCCCAGGGGCTGCAGAGGCCGTTCCCCAGGCCATTCGGGGACCAGTGCAGGGTGCTGGAGCAGAGGAACGAGGGGGACGGGGCGGGGCGAGCCACGCTCCCATTCACTCACCTGTCTATTCAGCCATGCAAGAAACGTTTATAAAATACACAGCAGGGAGCGAAACGAAGCCCCTGGCCTCGTGGCTCTGACACTTGAACAGAGAGATGGACGTCAACGGCTACTGATGAAAGTGGCAGTGAGATCAAATTGGGGTGGGGGCGGAGGGAGGGTGCACAGGCCGGGCCTCCAGGCAGGTGTGAGGAACAGAGCGGAGGGAACCCACGGAGGGAGCCCTGCCTGGACCGGGCAGGGGTGTCTCGTCCAGCGGTCCGAGGACCTGACGGGAGCATCCTCGGCCCCCTCAGCCCAGCCCCTCGCCCCTCACCTCTAACCCCTCTCCCCTTCTCTCTCACGCAGCAGGCAGGCTCCGGAGAGTTCCGGACACTGCGGAAAGGCTTCTCCCCGTACCACTCGGAGTCCCAGCTCTCCAGCCTGCCGCCCTCCTACCAGGATGCCCTGCAGAATGTAAGTGTCCCTCTCCCAAGAGCCCCACTGTTCCCATGTGGACCGCCCACCTCCGGAAGTGGAGGGGTGAGGCTCAGACCGGCTGGTGACCTGCCCAGGGCACGAGGATGGTCCACGGCTGAGCTGGGATTGGGATCCTCAGCTTCTGCCCGAGCTGCTTCCAGGGCAAGGCTTGGACGGCGCCTGGGCTCCCGACCCTTGACCCTCCACCCTCGACCCTTAGAACCTTGTAAGGGCCCGGCGTGGTGGTGAGAGGTGGGGGCCCAACTTGGGATACCGTTGCCGGCAGTGCAGGCTGGGGCAGAGGCCACGCGGCCCAGCCGCTGTCTGTCTGTGCAACTCGTCCGCCTCTGTCACTCCTTGGACACAGCAGGGAGTGGCTGCCCTGTGTGTACGTGAGGGCGACTACCCCAGACTTTATAACGGAGGTGGGAGAGGAGCTCAAGTTTATGACCGTGGGCTTCCGTTATCATCAGGGTGCCTCCAAGGTGATCCTGGCTTCTCGCCTGGGCTCTGACCTGCCCTGGGTGGGACAGGGAGGGCAGCGTGCGGCCAGCTCCCTGGGATGTGCATGCCTGGCTCAGGACTGCTCCCTGTGGGTGAATGTGCCCGTCATCCCTCTGTGACCGAGGGATGTATTCTTGTATTCAGAATACGCAGATCTACAGAAGCAGAAAGTACATTAGTGGTTGCCAGGGGCTGGCAGGAGGCGGGAGGAGGTGATGAAAACGTTCTGTTGGATGACTGTACAAATCTGTGAATGTGCAAAAACTACCTCCCAAGAAGCACGCGTTCGCATGAGCTCTGTAGATGTTTATTGAGCATCTGCTACGTGCAGGGCCGTGCTGGGCGCTCTCCACACACAGAAGCCCTGCAGCAAGGCAGGGACTTGGTGAGAAGTCCCCACAGAACAGATGAGAAACCGAGCTGGCCTGAGGTCCCTTGCAAGGTGGGCCTGGACTCTCCCCCAGGGTCCCAGCCCGGCTGTCTCCCTTCCATCCCAGCCAGCAAGGGCAGCCCCGGGGTTCCTCCCTGGGCCTCTGCGCTGGCAGGAGCAGGCCGATGCTGCCGCTGGCTGCTGGCCGAGCGCTCTGCTGTTTCTCTTCTGAGGCCCTCGCACCTTCTCCAGGAATGTAGCTGCTGACGCTGTGCAGGCAGCAAAGCCTGCTGATGACAGATAATCCAAATATTTATCCAGGAGCCCCGTGGCTGAATGAGGCTCCATGATGAAGGGCTCTCAAAGCCCAGCATTGCATTGCCCCCACAGGAGCGGCTCCCCCAGCCCTTCATACCCTCTGCCCTCTGTTCATTCTGATTGACTGTGGGAATCCTAACAGCTCACGGGACAGGGCACTGAAGACTTCTTGGTGAGCTGCAAACTGTAAAGTGCTGTGCAAGCCTGGCTGGCTCCTAGGACGTGCAGATGGGAGCAGAGGGAGCTCACTCCCCGAGGCTGAGCCCCTGAGGCCTTGACAGTGCTAGCGGAGGGCATGAGTCTTCCGGAAGGCTTCCTGGAGGAGGCCTTAGGAGGGGCTCCCTGTGCTGTCTTTAGGCTGCCTGCGTGCCATGGGCTGTCACCCCCTTTGGAGGGAAGGAAGCTGAGGCCCACTGGGGTGGGGTGGGGTGGGATGGGACGGTTTGCCAGGGTCGCATGGCTAGTGCGTGCCAGCACCAGGCCAAGCTGGGCTTGGAGGCCGGGTGCCGGCGTGCAGCACGAGGCCGCGGGCAGGCTGTTGGGGCAGATGGAGAGGGTGATGGTGTCTTGTGGGAGGGGCAGCCACAGAGGCTGCTGAGGAGGCAGTAGAGGGGCCGGAGCTGAGGTGGGAGTTCAGAGGCCAGGCCCCTTGGGACGTTTATAGGGCGCTGAGCCCTTGCTGGGCCCTGGAGGGCCCGTGGGTCCACAGGGAGAGGAGGTTTGTGTGGGGGGGACCCCCTGTGCTCTGATGCTGCCGGGGGCCTCGTCTCTTCCACAGCTACGTGTGGGCACATTTTCTGTAAGGCTACCTGCATGTCCACATGTCAGAGAATCCCGGGGTGAAGCAGGTGACCCTGTGGGGTGGGGACACCTCCTCCCTGCCCAGCTGGATGTCCCCACCCTCCCCGACCCCATCCCTACCCACTTCTCCCACCCACTGCCTGTCAGTGGAGCGAGCAACGGAGGTTGTACCCATCAGGGTCTGAGAGGAGGAGGCTTTTGACAGCTCCCTCGGGGAAACTGGTTTCCCTACTTTTTTTTGGTCAGTTGACTATATTTAAGTGTCCATTTCAGTGGATTTTAGAATCTTCACAGATTTGTGCAGTCATCGCAGCAGAACATTTTCATCACCCTGGAAAGAAACCCCGTGCTCCTTAGCAGTCCCTCCCCGCAGCCCCCGCCCCCAGCCCCTTGGCAACCGCTAATCTACTTGCTGCCTCTCCGCATTTGCCTTTTCTGGATATTTCATATAAACCGGAATCATAAAACATGCCATTCTTTGTGACTGGCTTCTTTCACTTAGCACCGCGTTTCTGAGATTCGTCCACATCGTAGCCTGTGTCAGACCTTCATTGCTTTTTATTGTCAAATTTTATTGTCCACATAAATTTGGACGGAGTTTTATGTGCAACAGCTGTGTGGGTGCCCCACATCTTGTGTGTCGTTCATCAGTTGCTGTGCATTGGTTTGTTTCCATTTTCTGCCTGTTGTGACTCGTGCTGCTCTGAACACCCCTGCACGGGCACGTGTGTGGACGCCTGTGTTCAGTGCTCTTGGGAGCACCTCCCCGCTTTTGGCTCCAGCGCTGGAGTCCCACAGACCCGGGGGGGAGGCTCGGCCCCCTGGTTTACTAGCTCTGTGGCCTTGGCAAGTCGTGCAGCCTCCCCTTACTCATCTGTAAAGTGGGAGCATAGAAAGACAGCGTCTGCGCAGAGGGTGGCAAGCGGCACTCCGTGGGCTGCTCTGCTCCGAGTGGGCTCTTAGGAGGTCGGGGGGAGGCATCACCGGGCTTTCCAGGCTGTGGTCCTCCTGCCATGGCAGGCCTGCAGGGGTGAGCTGGGTTTGGGAAATGCTCTAAAGGTCGCGGTCCTGACCGCTGTCCGGTGGTGGCTTCAGTCGCAGGAAGCCGCGGCTACGCTCTCATTAGCACCTGCCGTCTGTTTGGTGGGGTGGCCCAGGAAGCGGTTGGATTGCACGGCCTATCGTGGCCACTCCTAGTCTTTGCTTCAGAATCGGTCCCCTTACAGTGCGGGCGGTCAGGGAGCCCCAGGCGCAGACAGGACCTGAGGCCAGAGGAGCCCAGGGCCAGGCGCCTTCCTGGGCTGTACTTGTGTGCGGTCGCCCCCTGCTGGCCTTTAGTGGGGAGGGCAGCCTTCTGCCTCAGGGTGCGCACCTATGTGTGTGTGACCCACGCGGCACCTGTCTCCCAGAAGCCGCTTTGGTTTCCCCCGCATGACACACCCGGCCGGGATCCAGAGACCGGGCAGCCTGGGCCAGAGTTAGGGAAACAGCATCCCAGGCTCTCCATACAGCCTGGGACACAGGGACCCTAGCTGTCGTGCAGACAAGGAAACCGAGGTGCAGAGTGGGTCGGGCCTGCCTGGAGAACCCTGCCCAAGCCCAGCTCTGCCAGACATCAAGGCTGTGGGGTCTGGCCTCTGCCTGGAGCCAAGAGCAGGGCGAGCCTGCGAGGCCCTGGGATCAGGTCCGGGCCACGCGGGCCGGTGGGGAGAAGGCAGAGGGTGGCTGCTGGTGGTGGAAGATTCCAGGCCCTGAGGGTCCCCGCACAGCGTGGCCTGGCTGGGCAGGGTCCCAGGGCGATGGCCTCATCAGCCGAGCTCACTGAGTTGGCCTGGTCTCTGGAGGGGTCATCGGGTGCCACCGACGGAGAAGGAAACCAAGACTCAGAGACAGGAAGGTTGCCCAAGGACGCCAGGGTCTCCCCTTCACGCACTTGGTGTTCTTGGTGTTTAATCTCTGCCTTCCAGCATCCGCCGGTTCCCCTTAGGTCCCCTCCCAGCGTCTCCTGACCTCCCGGCTCCTGCCGCCCCGCGGTTGCATCGGCCTCCTTGTGTGTGGGCTCCTTCTGTGCGGCCCTGATCCCTTCTTGACCTTGCTCTGGGGCCGGGGTCCCCGCTGCAGCCCCAGCCAAAAGCCCTGCCTTCCGCCCCATGGACACCTGGCCAGCCGGGGAGAAGCCGGGCAGACAGACACTTGGCTTCTGACACGGGCGGGCAGAGGGCCAGGGAGTGGGTCCCTTCCTCTCCCGGCCTGCCTCCCGGCCCCTCAGGCTGATGTGGGTGGTGGGCACATGGTTGCCAATTAGGGTGTTGGCAGAAAGAGGTGGCACTGTTCCTGGGTGGCCGGACAGAACTGGGAGGGTCAGGGCTGGAAGCCCCAGGAATGCCCTGGGGGGTGGAGGCCGGGGAGGGAGAGAGACCTTAGGAGGCAGGCCGCCTGGGGCTGGAGCCCAGGTCCTTCGCATCTTCCCGGGTGACCGGCAAAACAGACAGCAGACCTTCCCTGTGGGCTGTTTAGAGGAGCCTGCGGGATGTGTGTGGGGAGTCCCGATGCTGCCCCCCGGCCTCACGCCCAGCCTCCTCTCCCCCGTCACCTCCACCCCCATTTCCTCCCGCCTGGGCCCTGGCCCCGCAGACGCAGTGCCCTCTCCCAGCTGCTGGCACACCTGTGGCTGCCACCTGGGAGCCAGCCAGGGCGAGCTGAGACGCACTTCCTTCCCACAGGGCCCGGCCTGCACGGTTCCCGAGCTGTCCCCGCCGCCCTCGGGTGGCTACAGCTCTGCGGGACAGAAGCCCGAGGCTGTCGTACACGCGATGAAGGTGAGGGCCAGGCCCTGCCGCTCCCTCGGGGGCCCCCAGATCCTGCTGCACTTCAGGAGCCTGTGACCTTGGACCCCACGTTTGCCCTTTCTGAGCCTGGGGGCAGCTGAGCGGCAGGGCAGGGACTTTGGTCTCTGGGTGGCCGTGGCTGCCTGGAGCACCGTGGTGTGGGGATTCCGCGGGGTGCTGGGTAGCGGCCAGGGAAGCTGAGGCCTGGGGGGGGTGGGGGGAGGGCTGGCACTCCCCAGGGTCGGGGATGGGGGTTGTGGGGTGAGGCTCAGGCCTCCCAGGCCCACTCTCCTCCTGTGCCCTGCTCAGGGCCTCCGGGTGCGCCCTGCGGTGCATCTCCCACCATGGCATCCCCATCCCTTCACGTGTATGCGCGCCGTGGACGCAGTGCACGGTCCCCCGGGTGTGAGGCCTGGCACGGCTGCACAGACACGGCACACTCGCGCCTGTGCGGGCGGTGACCGGGACACACCCCTGACGTGCATGAGCCGGGCCGCCCTGAGGCCCAAGTGGGGGCCCGGGGGCGGAGTGAGTCCCCCCGTGTGACAGTGGTCCCCACCCCACCTGTCCTCCCTGCTCCCGCGTGACCTGTCTTCAGCTCTGCCCCCGATGCTGACATGGGGTGCTGCTTCCCTCGTGTAGCGTCCCCGGTGTCGCTGTACCGCGGGGAGAGGACGCGAAGCGGGGAAGGACCACCTGGCCCTTAGGCCTCTCCATGCCCCTGTTCCCTGCACACCACCCCTCCGTCCCGGGACCCCACGGCTCCCGTTTGCAGCCGCGGCTCAGGGCGACCTGCCTGAGGCCTGCCTGGTGGCTTCCGCCCCTGACCCTGGGCCCTGTCCCCTGCAGGTCCTAGAGGTACATGAGAACCTGGACCGGCAGCTCCAGGACAGCTGTGAGGAGGACCTGAGTGAGAAGGAGAAGGCCATCGTCCGAGAGATGTGCAACGTGAGCCTCCTGGGGCCGGGGGTGACCTGGGGGGGTGGGAGCGGGTGCTGGGGCTTTGGGAGCCCTGGCCTCTCTTTGTCCACTTGACTTCCTCCCCGCTCCCGCCTCCCTTCCCTCTTCCCTTCCCCTCCCCTCCCCCTTTCCTTTTCCTCCCCTCCCTCTCTCTCCTTTCCCCTCCTTCTTTCCTTCCCTCCCCAAGAACAGGGTCCCTGATCTCTGGTCTTGCTCGCCCCATTTATCCTGACCCTTGGCCCCTGTCCCCTGATGTCTGTCTGGCTCCCAGCCTCCCAGCATGCTGGTGCCCCTGCTGGCTGCCAGCGCACAGGTGCTGTTCACGGGGGTGCAGGTGGAACGCTCCATTCTGCAGGACGCCCCACCCTGGAGCTAGCTGCCTTGGCTTTTGGAAGCTGGGCTTCTCTGGGTCTTTGGGGAGGCAGAGCGTCATCCCCCGACCCGCCTGGCCAATACGCATGGTCTCCTTGGACTCGTGAGGGAGCCAGCAGGGAAGTGGATCACGGGGTGCACCTGGGCCTCGCTTGGGATGAGGTGCCCCGAATCCCCCTCCTCTGCCGCCTCCTGGGTCTGTAGGCCCCACTGGACAGCCGCGAGGCCAAGTCTGCCCCCAGATGTGACCTGCTCAGGTGGGAGGTGTGGTTGTGAAGGGTGGACGTGCAAAGACGTACTCTGAGGGTCTCTGGGCCTCACGCGGCCTCCGTGTCCCCTCCTGGCCCCATGGCTCTCGGGATGCAGGTGATTCTGAAGAGCGATGGGGCAGTCTGTGCGCACAGGCCCCTGGGCAGGCTTGGGATGGGCCCTCCACTCACAGCTCGCCCCTCCCCACAGGTGGTCTGGAGAAAACTGGGAGATGCCGCCAGCTCCAAGCCCTCCATCCGGCAGCACCTGTCTGGAAACCAGTTCAAAGGGCCTTTGTAGGGCCGTTCCCCTGTGGACGTGGACTGGCCCTGCCTGGGGTCCCCAGACGTGGGCAGGCCCTCGCGCCGAGCCACTGTCTCCTTTTTCCGTGGTGAATTGTACATAGGACGCTGCCTGCTGTGGCCTGGCTGCCGGGGGTGCGACTCCATTTCCCACCTCTCACACACCAGCAAACCGGGAAGACTATTCCCCGCAGCAGAGCGGCCTGGACAACCTCGTTCCTGCTCAGGGGCCTGGGCTCTGGGCTCCATTGGCGAGAGGCTGAGGCTGCTCAGAGATGTCCGGCCCAGGAACCGTGCCGGGCTGTGCCCAGCCTTGGTGGAGGGGCACCTCATCAAGACCTCCATCCCCGGCTGCCACCTGTGCTGGACAGAGGCCGCTGGCAGCTGGACTGATGCACGGGGCACCACTTCTGACCCGCCTGCTGTGGCCTGAACACTGGCTCCATAAGCAGTGGGTCCCCAGAGTCGTGGACGAGGAAACTCACCCGCGGCCCTTCCTCTGGCCCCAGGGCCCAGCCTCCCCGCTGCCGGCTCTGCTTGTTTTTAGAGTTCACGCCCCTACCCCTAGCCACACACTCTGCAGTGTCCCCTCACCCTGTCCTAGGCTGTGCCCTATCCTTTTGGGTCCCTCCTGCCCAGGGCCCGAGGCACCTCCATTTCTGTGCTTCGCATCATGGGCTGTGTGGAGTCTCTGGGCTGGGCCTCTCTCTCTGCATGGGTGGCACCGGGCCGTGGCCAGGCCTCTGCTCAGGAACGGTTGCCCCCGGAGCTTGGACCCCTCTTGGATCACTGTGGACGGAGTTGCGTGGCCGTAGGTGAAGGAGTTCTGCCCTCCTTGGGAGGAGCCCTGCTTGGCTCTGGTTTTCATTTTCCTGTGTGACCCTCAGCAAGTCACTCAGCCTCTCTGGGCCCCTGGTCGGGAAAGGAGGGCTCAGAGGTTCGAGGCCATCAGCTCTAGTCAGCCTGTATCCTCACTCACAGCACGCGAGCCAACGGGGTCCTCCTGCTGGAGAGGCGGCTGGTGGGTGGGCTGGGAGGGGCGGAGGCCCCAGCTGAGTTCCGCTGCCTTGCTGCCTCCTCTCGGTGGACGGTCACCTCCCTTCCTGAGCCTCAAGTCCTCCCCTGCAGGGTGGGCAGCCTAAGGTCCTCCTTGCAGGGCTCTGGGGATCAAGTAAGACCTTCAGTGTAAAAGGATCGTGTATAAACTGTAAAGCGAGACATGTAAATTTTAAAGTTTGTGTGCGAGGGCAGTGAGGCCCTGAGGGCGTAAGTGATCAGTGGCGTATCACAGACGAGATCCCAGAGCCTGGAGGGCGGGGACAGGCCGCTGTTGTAACCAGCCCCCGTCCACCCGCTGTCTGCAGTTCCTCCCCCATCGCTGGACTCCAGTGGTCATTAGAACTCTGTGCGCGGGCGAGCGAAGAGCCCGAGAGGCTGGCTTGGCACCGGACAGGCCTCATCCGAGGCTCACGCGAGGGATGGGGACCAGGTGAGGGGACGGACCAGGCTGCCCCGTCCCTCTCCCCGGCGGGGACGCTGAGCCGTCCCCACCGCCTGTCTGCCATCGGCACCCTTGGGTCGACACTCGGGAAAGGCCCGCGGCCCTCACTGTGCCCGAGGAGTGCTGAACGGGTGCCGGTGACGGCGTCGGGCACGGCCCTCTTGCCCTGGGTGTTACAGGAAGCTATGGGCTCTCTGGAAGGAGCTGGTCCCTAGGTCATGTGGTGAGTTCCCTGTCATTAGGGGTGTGCACTTGGAGCTGGGTGAACATCCTCGGTCATGTTCTGGGTGACTTCTGCCCGGGTGGGCAGTCAGCTGGAGGGCAGAGGCCCCCTCCCGGGTCCTGGAGTCCAAAGAACCGTGGAGCAGCTCGACGGGGGGCTGGGTCTCTTGGGTGGGAGCCACATCTGAGAACCCGTGTGTCACGTCTGGGTCAGGCTGGCTTGCCCACCACTGAAAATAAGCAATAACTCAGGTGTCCTGGTGACTGCAGGTCTCCTGCAAACGGACCCAGGGAAGAACAGCCTCCAAGGGACCTTTCCCTGCCAGAGGGAGGTGACCCTGTCCCCTAGTGCTGCGGTGGCCTCCGGGGAGTGGGTCAGGCGTTCCCTCCAGAAGCAGCCTCCCGCCCGCCATGGAGGCAGCACCAGCCGGTGCCGACGTCTCCTTCCTGCCCCTGCCTGTGTCCCGGAGCCAGCACTGCATGGGAATGGCTTTTGAGGGCAGAATCGTACCTGTGACGGCATCTCTTTTAACGTAAGCTGTCGAAAAGCCTGCAGCGCCTCTGCGCGCCCCACGCCGGCCTGGGGCCCAGCTGCAGCGGGAGCCCACGGCTGGGAGGAGGGTCCCGGGGGCCAGCTCGGGGTGAGTCCCTGCTCTGCCACTAGCAGGGAGTGTGCAGGGGGTGACACCGGCGAACCTCCCATCTGGAGCCTCAGCTCTGAGAGCTCGTGGTGGGGTGTTGCTGAACCTGATGTCCTTTCATAAACACACTGTTTCTAGCGCCCGAAGCCCCGTGTGACACCTGTGCTGTGGCTTCCTTTCCCACTGTGATGGATGTCACCCTTCCAGCCTCATCCCAGGTGGCCAAGCCCATCCTGGAGTCGGAATCCACTGAGCATATTTTTATCCAAAAGTTATTAGCCACACATCAGTGTTGTTTAAAGAGAAAAAAGTGACCTTTTTTTTTTTTCTTGAAAACTTGAGAGGAAACAATACATACTACTGACTTTTTTTTTTTTAAGAAACAAAGGAAATGCATGACTGCAGAGCGGGAGAGGTGTATATTTTTCATAACGTGGGGGAAGTACTCGTGCTGCTCTCTGGGAATGGGCGGACCGCCTGGCCCCTGGCCCCAGGCCGGCAGCCGCGCTCTATCTACCTTCTGTCGGATGTGACCGCCCGAGTACTGGGGCCGCCCCCTCCCCAGCTCTGGGCAGAGCTGGGAGCCCTGGACTCCTGTGCCCGTTTCTACCTTCTATTGAACCACTTTGATTTGGGGAGAGAAAAAAAATTAGAACTTTTTGATAGTGTGGTAAAAACATTGATTTGAACTATTTTAGTAAAAGGAGTAACAGAAGATTGTGATAGTGTATACTTTGCGCTAGATAAATAAAGGCTCTTGCAAGCCTCTGGTGGGTACGCAGTGCTCATTTGTTTTGGGTGATGGGGCCCCTCAGGGTGGATGGTGGGGGCCGCTGACTGCTGCTCCATGGCCTCTAGTCATAGGCCAGAAATGCAAAGCATTTCAAATCCAAACCCTGGTCTAACCCAGGACCCTGTCTATTGGAGGAACACTGACAGTTCCAAACCAGCTTGAAATTCAACTGCTTCCTCCCAAGAAAGCCCACGCAGGCACTGGACGTGGGAGGCTGCCCCATGAGGGTACTGCCCAGGGAGGGGCTTGGGTCTGGCCGGTGGCCAGGCTGCCCTCCACTGCCTGTTGCTTGGCCCCCAGGGTCCAGAAGGAGAACATCTGCTTCTGGGCTGCAAACCCAGGGGCTGCTAAGGCTTGGAGCCCCACCTCGTGCCCGTAACAAACAAAGGCGTCATTTCAGAACTGATTTTATTTGGGTAACTGACTGAAGGAGTCTCATTTGTAACCAAGATGGAATTCACAGTATGTTGTTACATTCACACTTAAAAAATATATCTCTATGTACAGGAATTTGCAAGTTGATGTAAACATACATTACTTCCAAGTACATTTCTCCCCTTCTTCCTGGAGGAAAAAGAATAGAGCCATCCAGCAAGTCAACCCCTTCAAAATAACTTTAACACAAAGGACGTAAGTATCTCTAAATCAAAAATGTGGTTCAATTGACCTACACGTGTCACGGGAGAGAACATCATGGAATGACAGCAATGACAACAGCTTGACTTCAGATGGAACCGGACTATTTAAAATGGAGTTTCCAGGAAAAATAGGCACTGATTTCTAGAAGGAAATGCACTCCTTACTGAAGCTATTTATTGAGCCAATATGGCTGGTTAACATTCTCACTAGTGTAAAGTAACTCAGCGCAGGACTCGCGGACGACGCTGGTTGAGACCAAACGCACAGTCGGGTCACAACCGGCTCTGCCTGGGCTCCAGTGAGAGCTGCTGTCCCCACTCCCCAGATGTGGAGGACCACCCCAATTTCACCTTGGGGGTCCGGTCCATTTCTTCCCATACTACAACTGTGTAGCATTATACAAGGTACCCTGCGGCTTACCCACTTAAACTACTTTTCAAGTTAATTAGAAAAACTTTTCTTTAAAAAACGAAGAAAGAAGGGCGCCAGGTTACCTCATCCAGGCTGCCCGCCCCAGCCCCCCGACTGGAGGCATGCCAGGTGGCGGGATGGGTGGGGGCACAGGCGGCTGCCCTCCAGGGGGCACAGCTGGAGGCGGGTAGCTAGCCGGTGGCAGGCCCAGGCCTGGAGGAGGGTGAGGGGGCACTGCGTGGGTGGGCGGCATGCGGGGGGGTGGCGGCGGGAAATTGGGGTTGTAGGTGGGCGGGGGGGGCGGGTAGCCAGGGGCGGGGGGAGGGATGGCAGGTGGCGGGAAGGAGGCTGGCGGCGGTGGCACGGGCGGCGGGGGCGGGTTTGGGGGGTAGACGTGGGGGTGATAGGGCAGGTGAGCCGGCGGGCCGTAGGCGGGGGGCAGAGCCCCGTAGGAGGGGCCCTCGGTCTTCATCATGGACTGGAGGCTCTGGTAGCCCTCTCCGGACATGTAGGAGCTGCTGGTAGACATGCCGGTGATGTAGCTGGAGGGCGGCGGGGGCGGGGGCCGGTGCGGCAGTGGTGGAGGCTGGTGCACCGGGGCCGGGTGGGCCGGAGGGGGGATCTGGACTTTGGGGAGGTCGCCGGCTTCCACGGGGCCTGGCGGCTCAGCCTCGCCCAAGGCGGCTGCAAGGGGTGGCTTCCGGTCTGCAGAAGGGAGACAGGCCACTGCCAGCTCTGGAACGGCTCCCGGCAGGGCGCCCCTGGGGGCTGCGCGTGTAGGGGGGGATCCACCAACTCCCTCGGGGCAGGGAAGCCCCCCCGCAACCCCGACAGCTCACGGCCACCCCGGGGGTTCCTGGCCCTGTCACAGCACCGTGGGCCGTCTTCCAGAGGAGCGGCAAGCAGCTGTCACCTTTGTGGCCAGACAGCACAGCCTGCGCCCGTGTCCCGAAGCCAGCGGCTCATGTGCTGTCACGCAGGCCCTGCACCTCGCCTCCAGCCACTCTGGGTGTTCCCTCCCCGCTCCCCAGTGCACCAGGCACGGGCAGTCCCGGGGGCGCATGGAGTCCCTTCCGCCCAGACCCCCAGCCCTCTTTCTAGTACAAACGTGCGCGGGGCCCCTTCTTTCTGCCCGTCTTGCCTCCAGAGGCTGTGAGCCCAGGGCCAGGATGCAGCACCGTCTGCGGGCGGCACTGGCATTTGGCAGGACGCCTGAGAGGTGGTCACACGAGTGACGTGGCGTTAAACACACGCCGGGACGGCCTCTGACACCCCAACGACCCACGTGAGCGGCATTCTGGCCCGTGCCCTGTGTGGCGGGGGCACCGCTCCCCGCCCCGGCTCCCTGGCGGCCAGCAGCTGACTGGAAGAGCTGAAGCCCCCAGAAGCTCAGAAGTCGCTGGAGTATCTCCCACCTTCTGGCACACACACCCTAACTCCTGCCTTCTCTAGTTGGACACTTCACCTTCCAAAGTGTCGCCACAGCTGAAGAATGAAAGTTCTTTACAACCTTTCTCCTCTATTTTTAATGCCGCTGAGGAAGTGTCCCAGTTCACTGTGTGCCTGTGAAGGCCTTTTCACTCTATTCTCCAAATGACTCCATGAACAACTGCTTACTCTCCAAAGGGTACTGAGGAGACACCCTGCCAACGGGAAGCCGACGCGAGAGCCTGGAGTCTAAGGTCGACAGCGATCTGCCCAGATCTCGACAATGTTCCTAAGTTGCAGGGCTTTGTTTTCCTAAAACTGATTCTAAAGTCATTTATCCTCCACCATTTCTGGATGCGAGAGGTCAGAGAATATTCAGATATACTTAGAATTCACATCCTCAAGCTATCTGGTTGTAAAAAAAACAATTTTTTGAAAAATCCTAGGTCATTAACGTCTCTCTAAATTTCTGAAGTTCTTCTATAAATCCTCCCCAGGATTTCCCAAGTGTGCCCTTCAAAAAGGCAGCGAGAAAAGCTGGCCCTCCCAGCTGCCTGCAGGCAACACTTACCTGGGGGTGGATGGGCTGGAGGCAATGGAGGGTGAGGGGGCTCAATTTTAGGAATTTTAGGTGGTGGTGGTTCTGAAAAGAAAAAGTAGATTAAAAAGCTACTCTTCATATAGAGTAAGTATGTCAGAGAGAGCGAGAGAGGAGAAAAAGAAAAATGCACTGTTAAGGAATTATCTGGGGGAAAAAGCTGATATGACCAAGGCTTGAAGGGAAGCTGAGGAAGGCACCAGCTAAACCATCCTTTTAAAAGAACAAAACAAATGAAACAAATACATCCCCCCTCCACCTCCTGCCACCCCACGCCTCTCACCTCCTTCCAAAAGTAAAAACCCTCTCGCTTCTTACAGTCCGCCAGCCCATTTTCCACCTCTGCCCAACTTCCTCCTGACCACTTAAGACGAGCCCTCCAATGACACGAGAGCAGCAGACTGCATCTCAGTTACCAAGGGGTACCCGTCAGGGTCCTCACTAACACACAGAGCACCAAGAAAGGCCCCAAGTGCTCCCAGGAGAAGCCGGCACCTTTTATCTCTTGTCTAGGCACACTTAAGTTTGTTTTCTCTCTCACAAATGTTTACTCCTAGTTATAGCAGCACACCTGAACTGGCGTCGGTAGAGACTTGGAGGCTGGCGAATGGACAGAAAAGCAAGGTAGTTGGGACCGCTTGGGGCAGAGGACAGAGCCCATCCTTTAGGGTTGAGCAGCTGCATGTAACCAGCATCCTCACTGACAATCCTAAGTCGCCAAGACAGGCTACGCCACATCCAGCACCTTCTGTTTGTGACGGTACAGGGTGCGCGCACACCACCAGAAAAGAATGCCATCTTTTCGCTTGTATGGTTTGGTTCTTTCTTCCTGAAACTCACTTTATTCTGGCTCGTACGCTGCTCTGCTCTGCTTCTGCTCTGGCACTGCTCAACGTTCTTGGCTTCCTGTGTCCCAGACACAGGCTGGGTTCAAGATCCAGGGACATCCCTCTCTCTATTCTCTTCCTCAGAGACCAAATCCCCCGTCTCTAGGCAGAGGAGCTGCAGATCTATGCCTCTGCCTTCCATCTCTCCTCCCAAACCGTGGAGCAGGCTCCTGGGCCCTGTCCCGAGACCGAGCAGCCCACCCCTCTCACACAGGCGCCCCCCTCCAGCCCCTCCCACAGACGGCTGAGCTGAGGTCATCTAGGTCAGTGCTGTCCGACAGAAATATAAGGAGAGCCACACAGGCAATTTTACATCTTCTAGTAGCCACGCTGAAAAGTACAAAGAGGTGAAATTAATTTTAATACGGTCTTTGATTCAACCTGGTATTATCAAGAATTTTGTCATCTTAATGTGGAATCAATGTAGAATTTTATTAATGAGATTTTTAATGTTCTTTTCTCTAACTCTTAGAGATCCGTGTGTCTTCTGCACTGAGGGCACGTGGTGTTTTTGGAGTAGGCCACATGTCAAGCGCTCACCAGCCCTCTGCAACCCAGAGCACAGTGGGGTCCTGCTTCCAGGCCCCAAGGCACCCCCGACACCACGTCTCACTCTGGGGCTCGCAGGCTCCTCCCCATTCCCCACCCTCTTGCCATTACTGCTGCCAGGGGAACTCTCTCTACAGTGAACTCAGACCGTGCCATTCTCCTGCTCAAACGCCTCCACTGGCTCCCCTGCCTATGCAGAATCCACCCTCCACCAGGTGGGCGCTACCACCTGCTTCTAGCACATTTTCAGTCCTAGCAAAAGCTACTCCTTTTTAACCCTTCACAGTCCAGTAAGACTCCCCTCTCTGTTATCTCCCAAATTCTCCACCCCACTGTTCACTCTGCTCCTCTGCCTGAAGGCTCCACCCTGTCAGCCCTTGTTGCTCAAGGCAAGTCCCCCTCCAAGGCCACCCGGGCTCCTTTCTGCCTCTTGAAGACACAGCGCCAGCTCAGCTGACCCAAC